AAAACATTGCTCATAAGACTGAGCAATATACTCGCCAAGCAAACAAAGGACGTAAGTATGTCCAATTCAACGAAGGCGAGTGGGTGTGGCTACATCTCCGACCCGAGCGATTCCCGGATAAACGCAAGTCCAAGCTGAACCCTCGAGCTGACAGACCATTCCGCATAAGTGAGAAGATCAACGACAACGCCTACCGTCTTGAGCTACCAGGTGAGTATACTGTATCTAATGCTTTTAACGTTACTGACTTATCTCGTTTTGATGCAGGTTACGATATTTCGAAGACGAAATCTTCTTAAGGGGGAGGGCATGATGAGGACATCGGATCTAGCAGCTTGGAGGAGGACGGGAGCATCTCTTGAAGACGGGAGCTTAACGGAAGGAGCTCTTGAGGACGTTGAAGGCTTGGCCTCTCAGGTGCCAAGAGACATGCCGAGTGATCACGACGTTACACGATCATTTGAAGCCGCAGGAACAGGATGTGACGTACACAACACGAAGGCTCCCCGAGCAAGTCATAGAGCCGAGCCTCCACTTACTCGTGCTAGAGCTCGAGCACTTCGTGTCACGCTTACCAAAGCCGTCACCAAAGTTCTCCACGGATCCCGGGTTCACGATAACGATGATACTTCGTTTTTCGGACGAAGCTCGACCCGAAACTTTCTCACACTTGAAGTTGTCGATGTCTAAGCCTAAGATGCATCCCATGGGCCTTTCTCATCAGCCCACTCGGCCCATTAAAGAAGTTGCAACAGCCATATTTTGTCAACTACTTCATTTAATGACAATTAGGCTCCTATCTTTGCATGTTAGCTAGCATTTAATGTATTGTTTTCACTTAAACTCTTTTAAAACACTTGTAATGCATCATGAACGAACCTAAGTTGGATTATTAAAGTTTTCTTTTGAGAAATCTCTCTCTTTGGCTGGTTCATCCGCCCCTCTTCACGTGGTTCGCCGGTTTGTCTAGCAGACCCGTTGTTGGCCGTCGTTGGTGTGTCCGCCGGTCATCCTTGAGCTCGGTGTGTCCGACTCTTCTCCTTGGTCTGTCCAAAGAAGCCTTCGTTCATCTCCATCTCCTTGAAACGATTCCGAATTCGAGAGCCACTCCCGTGAGCCGGTGATCGAAATCGTTTCCCCATAAACCCACTTCGATTATTCCCCGTTCATCCGTGAATTCGAGAGCCACTCACCGTGAGCCGGTGATTGCGGTTGAACCTCCTGCCCATCCTCCTCCGTGCGTACATCAGATTAAAACCCTAATTAAGGGAGAGTTTTTGCTGGCCGACTTGAGAACTCTTTTGACAGACTTTTGGTGAGATCCAAGTGGTTCAAGAGTGTGATCGAAGTCTCGGTTTCTCGAAGCACAAAACCGAATAGCTGATTCGGGTCCTAGCAGATAAGTTCCAACCGTTGGAATCCATCCCGAGGTGTGGATACGTGTAGAGGGCGAGGTAATCTTCCTCCCTTTCGTGATCAAACGAATTCTTCAATTGAGACAGGCCCCGGATCGATTGAGGTAAGCGTTCTAACGTTTCTACGATTCATAGAAGCATGGTTCTAGGGTTTCATTAAATTTTTGTTTTACATCCGCTGCACAAACCCTAGAATCGATCTCTTAGGAATAGGATTCGCTCATGAGATCCTAGGAAACCATCAGTGGTATCAGAGCCTGGTTGCTCTGTTTTGATTTCGTAGAACCCGATCACGCACGTTTTAGGATTTGAATTGTTTGAATCCATGTTTGCTTTGAATTCTATGCATGTTTGATGATTGAATCTAGTGTAGATTGCATGTTTCATGTTGCATAGAGTGCAGGAGGTCGAATTTTGGGTTCACAGAAGAATTCGGATAAGTTTCGGGTCTGATCGGGGCCGAGAACGTCGGAGAACGTGATCTGATCACGTAGTCCTACCCTAGACCGTATGTTCTGGGTAAGCCAGACCGGACGGTCCAGGGGTGGCGGACTGATGTGAGACCGAAGGGTCTGGAACGTCCGTTCTGTGGCTGAGAACGGACCGTCCGTTCTGTTGTCATGGACCGTCCGTTCCAGTCACCTCAGACCGTCCGTTCTGCCAAGCCTGGAACGTCCGTTCTGTATCTAGAACGGACGATCCGAGGTCCAGACTCCGAAATTTTTCGTTTTCGAGGTCCGATTACGCAATTGTTGCCTATTCTGATCAACTGTAACTCAAATAGACATGATTCATTCTTATAGATGGTCCATAGCGAATGAATGCATGTAACTTAAACAAGATATAGGATATGCTTGATTGAGTGGGAGCTCCGGGAATGGGATTACATAATCGAATGGATGGTGTATTCGGATTATGAACAATCGTTGCACAGAAACCGATTAGATCTAGAAGCTCTATGAGTAAAGCACTTGTCAAGGCCTCGATCTTACGTGTCATGGGCCATGCCAAAGCTGGGTGTGCCGTATTATCTTGGTGAGATAAGATGGAGAAATGGTGGTTCTCATAGCTTGAAAGTAGATGCTTGATCTAGTGTGGTTTCGAAAATCCCTTGTTCATGTAATGCTAAGTGTGTGCCTCCCATTACTAGAGCGCCTGTCAAGGCATCGATCATCCTAACACGGGTCATGCCAAAGCTGAGCGTGTCGGATTATCTTTGTGAGGCAGGGTGGGAAATCGTGGTTCTCACAGCTTGAATATGGTTAATCTTAGGTTAAGTTGTCAAGTTTGACTTGAGACTTAATGGTACAGATGAGACGAGTATGCAATGATATTTGATATCATAGTCTCATAAAGGATCTAAGAGTCATAATGGATGTGATTGACATTAGATGTCTACCTAAATAGCATAAGGATAGATGTAACAATTTATTCTTGTGTGAAATACGGATCTTAGTCCCATATAGAAAATTATTGTAGGGTTAGTTTTCTTTATAAGAATATAGCTCGTGTTTGCATCTATGTTGTCATTGATTGATGATGGACTAGCTGGTAGTAGATCATTGATAGAATCTGCATTTTGTTTTGTTCGTTCTATTTTGTCTCTTTTGTAGGACATGGCGTCAACCGGTAGTGTACCAAGTTTGACGATGCGATCTATCCTTGAGAAGGATAAACTGACCGGGACAAACTTCTTAGACTGGTATCGGAACTTGAGAATTGTTCTCAAGCACGATAAGAAGTCTTACGTCCTGGAAGGGGCTCTACCACCTGAGCCTGCAGCCAATGCCACGAGAGCCGTCAAAGATGCTTGGTTGAAGCATCAGACTGACGACATCGAGATTTCCTATCTCATGTTGGGAAGCATGGCCCCAAATCTGCAGAGGCAGTTTGAGGGGAAGAGCGGACCATGTTTGAGGAGCTAGCGCGTACTGAAAAGTACAAGACGCTGAAAGCTCTGGTGAAGACGGAGATGCCGAGAGGTAGCTCTATCAACACCCACGTCCTCAACATGAGAGCTCATGTTGAAGAACTTGAGCGTATGGGAGTGAAGCTCGATGGTGACTTGGTTGCAGACTTGATCCTGATTTCATTGCCCGAGGACTATAACCAGTTTGTTATGCAGTATCATATGCACGGGATGACTAAGAGCTTAGCCGAACTGCATGGGATGCTGAAATCGGCCGAACAGGATATAGTGGTGCCCAAGATTGTGCTTGCTGTTGAGAACAACTCCAGCAAGAAGCGGCGGGGCAAAGCCAAAAAGAAGGCGGCGAAAAAGGCAAAAGTTGCCTCTGTCATTACTGCGGAGTGTCTGGACACTGGAAGCGTAACTGTCCCCTTTACTTGGAGGATCTAAAGGATAAGAAGCTTGGTGAAGCTTCTGCCTCAGGTATTCATGTTATAGAAGCTAACATTTGTACTACATCTTCGTGGGTATTGGATACCGGAAGTGCCTCACACATTTGTGGAAATGTGCAGGGACTAAGAAGAAGTAGGATGCTGGCTAAGGGAGAAGCGGATCTACGCGTCGGAAATGGAGCAAGAGTTGTTGCATTGTGTGTTGGCGTTTACGATTTGCATCTTCCTTCTGGACTTGTTTTAGAGCTTAGTAATTGTTACTATGTTCCTGCAATTAGCATAAACATTATTTCTATTTCTTGTCTGGATTTGGATGGTTTTCAATTTGTGATTGAGAACTCGAGTTTGATGATTTATCGAGATGATATTTACTATGGTAATGGTTATCTAGTTAATGGTTTATACGTATTGAATGATCAGCCTTCGAACTCGACATCATCTATCTATAGCGTGAGTACTAAATAGTTTAAGCCGAACGACTTAAACTCGACCTTCCTCTGGCATTGTCGTCTAGGCCATATAAACGAGAAGCGCATTCAGAAGCTTCATTCTGAAGGTCTTCTGGATTCATTTGACTTTGAGTCTCTTGAATCTTGCGAGTCTTGTTTGATGGGCAAGATGACAAAGCATCCTTTCAAGGGGAAAGGACAGAGAGCGACAGAGTTATTGGATCTGATACATAGTGATGTATGCGGACCAATGAGCTGTCCAGCTAGAGGAGGTTATCTGTACTTCGTTATGTTCACTGATGATTTCAGTCGATACGGTTATGTCTATTTGATGAGACATAAGTCTGAAACACTTGAAATGTTCAAGGCTTTCAGAAACGAAGTACAGAACCAACTTGGCAAGA